GGGAGCAACGGGGAGTTATTGTGTTTACAGCCTTCACTGTAAATAAAGTGCACTGTTTGCATCGCAGAACCATGCGTTTTGGGTCCTCATTCCCCCATATCCCCACGATCTGCCAGCCAGACCGTTGCATTATGGATAAAAGATCACAAAGTGCTTCACACAGAGATAACGAATTATAAAACAAAAACAGACAAAAGTTAACGCAATGCAATTCTAAAAAGATGTGTTTTTAGTTGTTTTTTAAAAGAGACTACTGAGTCCACAGATCTTATGCTCAGCGGGAGAGAGTTGCACCGTCTGGGAGCCACAGTGGCAACAGCTCTGTCTCCCTTAGGTCTCAGCCTTGCATGCTAAATAACAAGTGGGTCACAAGTGAGTACTTAGATGTTTTGGTCAGAAGCCTAGCTGCAGCATTTTGAACAATCTGTCTCAGTTCTGGGTCATTCTGATCCAGCATTTTCTGTTTCTTATGTTTTTGGTATTCTTCTGTATTATAATTAATGTTCTGATTCTTTAGCTATCCTGTGTTGATCATTATTATTTTATGTTCCAGCTTATTCCGGTTTAGGGTTTAGTTCTTAGGTTTAGTTCTTATGCCCTCATGTTTAGTTTAGGTTTAGTTCTGTGCTTAGTCTTTTCTGCCCGTGTGTTCCCTCTGTGTAAGTCCGCGTTTCTTAGTCTGCGTCTTTGTGAATTGTTTCCTGTTTTATTTTGAAGGGTTATGTCTTATGTCTGTGTGTCTAGCTTCGCTCCCCCTGTCTCGTTAGCCCTAATCCCTCCCAGCTGTGTCTCCCTCCTGTTTTCCACTCCCTAATTACTCCCCTGTGTTTGCCTTTCCTCTCTGCTGCGTCGTACCCTCAGATTGTGCCTGTGTGTTTCTGTTTTCAGCGGTCTGTGTTCAGTTCATGTTTTGTTTATCGCCAGCAATAAAGCTATGGTTTTCAGTTGCAATTTGAGTACTGCTTTCGGATCACCTACGCCTGCCCGCACACAGAGCTCTGACACAATCTGCAGACAACCCATGCCCCCCTTTAGACTCACCCCTGTTTGTTGCAGGTGTCACGGGCCACAGTGATAGAAAGTGGGCTAATTTAAACATGGTATCAGACTAAATTAACAGTTCATCTGCATATTATCAGTATTTCTTTTTAAAAACCAGGGCCTGCCTGGGCTTATTGTTGTCAAAATCTGTATTCACATACATGCTCCTAGATACATGTTTATCGCAGGTCTATTTTATTCCCAAATGTGGGTGAAACGTTTATATAGAATTTAAACGAAGCGTCGAAAAATTTGCCTTGAGGACTTTTTTTTTTTTTTTATCATCGAGTTATTCGAATTATGCAATGAATCATTGCAGCCCTAAACTATAAACATCATTAGTCAGTCTGAGTGCACATTTAAGCATACTAAGATTGAATAAACGTAGCATTGTTTTCAAAGATCAAAGACATTACAATTAACTTTTCAGGGAACATGAGCATAAAATTTCATGGCAATCCACACTGTCACGCCATTTACTACAGACTCAGGTTTAGTTAGGTTGTTTATGACTGTGTGAGCAAGCTGTGCGCTGAATTGCCCTTTTTTGTGCGATCAATAAAATAAACAAATCTGAAACAGCTGAAATCAATAAATACCACATTTATACTGAAGTAATGAGTATTGGTGAAAATCAGATTTTGCAGCTTTGTGTGTATTGATCAACTTTTATCACCTACAAACTTCCAAAGTTGTAGCCATCGTAATCTACTTTTCAGTTTTTGTTGTTGTGTTTCTTTTGCTTATTTAGGGTAGAAAAAGCATGTGTGGACTTTGTAATGCTACTGTGAAGTCCAGATAGTGTGTTACTGTAGTAGCCTTGCTTCAATCAATAGTTTATGCTGTTTTGAACCCACTTCAGTAATGCAAGGTGCAAAGTGTAAGTGTAGATGTAAAGTGCATTTCACATAATCAGAAGTATACAGAACATGCACAAAACAACATGGAACAATTAAACAAAGTCTACATAATAATTTCAAGGTAGCTTTTTGTTGCTGTAAAAGCCATAAATAATAATATAAAAAATAGGGAAATTAAAAAACATCTTATTCAGCCTTTTAGTAAGTTAACTTGTAATGAGTTTCAGTTCTGAATAAAGTACTCCACAGATGTATTTAAAGTGTTTTTATTATGACAAATCTGACAGATAATCAAGCACAGCAGGGTGTGTGTCACTGTATCTTTGGCCATTTCCAGGGGGAGGGGAGAGAAGAAGGGGGTGGAGGTGGGTGAGAGTGTGTTGAAGCCTTTAAATTGTGGACAACTTCCAATGGATGTGAGTGACAAAGAGAGACTGAGAAACACAATTAGGTAAGTGAGTGGAAAAAGGGTAACTTTTGAGGTCAGGAGACAAAAAGTTGGTCTTGTTTGCAAAGTACTGTGTGCCAGACACTTCATAAATTTTTCAACCATGGCTGAATGTGTCGTTTTCTTTCTCATTCAAAAAGGGAAAAAAAAGTCCTGAGGTAGGAAGGAGAGAAGAAGAGGAAGAAAAAGTAGAAGAAGAAGAAATGAAGGACTTGGCGCAGTCAGTAAAACCCGGGGTGTTTCAGCAGAGGGGAGGTAAAGTAACTCGATCCAAAGTTTGGCTAAAGAATGAACTCATTCGTGTGGGACTTGCTGAATCACTTAGCACATATGTCATGATGGTAAGAATACAGTATTATCACAAGATTTCTGAAGTGTCATATGCTTTCAAATAATAATATGTAATATTTCATTAAAAACTGTAAAAGCACCTCTCAAATCCATGATTCTGCTGACATTTTGACTTTTCATTTATCGGGTCTTCTTTCTGTTTAGAACCTAATTGCTTATCTGTAGCACCCATATGCTATTAATCATTAATGTCGTGCTCTTTATCCTGATAAGTTGCAACATTCTCTCAAATGCACACACATAAGCACTATTAACAGTCACATTGTCAGTTTCAGTGAATGAACCTGAGAATCTAGATTCATTCATCTATTCATCTAGATAGAATTATAGAGTAATAGTCAGGCAGCGAGCCAGCTGAAGAGGTTTCCAGAAGTCACACGTCAGCTGTCAGCTGTTACAATAAACCTTTTACTTAGAAGCCTGGAAGAAAAACACATGCAGTGATAACATGATGAACATGGGAAGTGTAAATGCCTGAATGTGAGCACAAAAGAATTGCACTTACTGTGTTTGTAATTAGGAATCCTGACATAAACAAAATACTCGTGACTTTGTTGGAGGAACCACACTTTTCCTGTTTCCTGAGAGAACGGCTACAGTTTTTCAGTGTCAGCATTTTTTTTTACCCTGATAACACAGCCGCTTGCACTGAGTTAAAAGCAAGATAATTCAGTAGTGTGGTGTCTTTTACATTTGTGCAGTACCATAATTAAAATGAAAATTAATTGTGCAACTCAGCCTTTTAACTTTTAAGTAAGAAAGAAAATGTTACTTACACAGTATGTTTAAAACTAAGGTACTTCTAGAAATAATTAAAACAAACAAACAAAAAAAAAAACTCCCAAAAAACTTAACTGGCTTTTTGCTACTTACCTCCGTCAGAGAGGTAATTCTTTTGGTAGCATTTGCGTGCGTGTCAATCTGTCTGTAAGCAAGACAGCTCAATTCTGATAACACTTTCTAGGCGTGTAGATAAGATCATGTTAATATGGCATTAAAATCTGGCTTACATTCACTAAAGCCTTCTAGGAGAATTAAATTATTCATCGGTTGAAAAGTTACAAAAAAACCTTATAACTTAGAAACTATGACGCTTACAAGTGTGATGTGTATTGTGAACATATAGTACCGTAGTACCGTATACAGTTTTAAAACATGTGAGAACAAAAATGTGTGTGAACAAAGTAAATAAACTGAATTATACTATTCTCTTAAAAGTAAATTCTGCCCAGAGAGTGAGCTGCGTTGTGGAGGTTTAAACTCTCAGAGTGCTTCTTGTTTACATCCAGTGCATCCAGAAAGTATTCACAGCGCTTCCACATTTTTGTCATGTTACAGTGATATTCCAAAATGGATTCAATTCATTTTTCACCAAAAAAATTCAAAACACAATACTCCATAATGACAAAGGTAAATAAAAAACAAACTTGAAATGTTTAAAAATAGATATAAAAATAAAAAAAAGCAAAACTATAACATGTACATTAGTATTCACCACATTTGTCGTGACACTCAAAATTGAGTGTCCACTGAGCCTCTGATGTTCCACTGGTGTTTCGACAACTTCCACCTGTGGTAAAGTCAGCCAACTGGACATGATTTGGAGAGGCACACACCAGTTTGTATGATGTCCCACAGTTGACAGTGCATGTCAGAGCAAAAACCAAGCCATGATGTCCAAGAAATTGTCTGGAGACCTCTGAGACAGGACAGTTTCAAGGCACAGAGCCTCAATTATCTGGCTCCAGGTTATTCCATTTTGGAATAGCCATAGTTAGGAAGCTAATGAAGAACCCAATGGGCACTCTGACAGAGCTCCAGTGTTGCTCTGTAGAGAGAGGAAAACCTTCCAGAAGTACAACCATTTCTGTAGCACTTCACCAATCAGGCCAGTGTGGTAGTAACCAGACAGAAGCTACTTCTCAATAAAAGTCAAATGACAGCCCACCTGGGATATGCCAAAAAGCATCTGAAGGACTCTCACACCATGAGAAACCAAATCCTCTGGTCTGATGAAATAAAATTTGAACTCAGTAGTAAAATGGTGGCAGCATCATGCTGTGGGATGTTTTTTTTCAGCAGCAGGAACTTGAATGAATGAATGCGCAATATACAGAGACATCCTGGATGATAATGTGCTCCCAAGAGCTCTGGACTTTGGATTGGGCGAAGCAGCTCTATTCCAACAGGACAACGACCCTAAGCACAAAGCCAAGATGACAAAGGAGCGGCTTTGGCACAGCTCTGCAAATGTCCTTAAGCAGCCCAGCCAGAGGGAAGGAACCTGTCCGAAAATTACTGTAGAGCCTCTCAAGCTCCACCAAGTTGAATGAGGAGTGCTGGTTCACCAAAAACAAAAGGCTTGAGGCTATAATTGCAGCCAAAGGTGCTTCAACAAAATATTTTGCAAAGGCTGTGAATACTTTCTGGATGCACACTATATATTTGTTGAGTTGCTTTCCCTACATCATATCAAGATGGTGCACAGGATTTTTAAAAAATGTTTTGTTAGACAATTCCATTGCTGGAGAGGGAAAAGCTGTACAGGAAATTATGTTTATGTTGCTTCAAGACTGTAACTGTGGTCCAACTCCTCGCATCCTGGCAGCATTCAGTGTAGTGGTGGCTGATACATTGATGAGCTGATATCTTGTCATATGTCAACAAGACAAGGATCTCAGGATGAGTTTGTTTTTATAGCCAAATATTTACAGTAAATTGAGATATTTTACAGATGTTTTACAATCATTACTATTAGATTTAAAGTGGCAGAATAATAGCAACCAAACAGCTGACAGTGTTATACTATAAGATTTTTTACAGTGAGAAACTGCTGTTGTAGATTACAAAAGAATCCGGCTGCCAGCACTTAATCACAGTTTGCCTCAAACATTTCTTACGTTGTGAAATAAGCTTCCTGGAAAGTATTTCTTGTAATCTATTTCTATGTTTGACTGCATAAATGATATGTGGGTTCTCTTTGTCTCCAGTCATTGGGTTTGGGGTCTGTGGCCCAGGTAGTGACTGGTCAGGGAGCTTTTGGACAGTACCTCAGCATCAACCTGGGTTTTGGACTGGCTGTTGCCATGGGGTCTCATGTTGGAGGGAAGATCTCGGGTATGAAAGATGACGACATCAAAACCTATGAAATGTTTTCCAATTGTTGTTCAGCAGTCATATTTTGCTCTTTTGATCTGTTTCAGGGGCTCATATGAATGGAGCTGTATCATTCACAATGTGTGTGTTTCGCCGCCTCCCGTGGAAGATGCTACCTCTTTATATTTCGGCACAGCTATTGGGATCATTTCTTGCAGCAGGGACAATTTATGCTGTCTACTATGGTGAGGAAACGCAACAGTATGTGTTAAAAAAATAGGTATCTAGGTCACTTTAAGGTTCAAGAACAAAGAAGCAAAGTCTCAGGAAATCGGCCCATGCATGATTTAAATTTAAAGCTTATCTGATGTTTTTCTGCATCTACACATCTGGAACACATTATGAAGAGGCCCACTAGGCTGTACTGCACCATCATGTGTCCTAAGCGGCAAACCTCCTAGAACAAGTATTATAAAAACCACATGGAAAACAACTCATACAGATCTGGAGGCACTGTTACTGAAGTTATTGTGTTTTTTGTACCAAAAAAACACACCCCAGTATTGCTGCGATTTCTTGGAGTCACACAACTATCACGATTTATCTGTGTGATACGTTTGCAGAAGCCATTCATGACTACTGTAGAGGAAACCTGACTGTGACTGGTGAGAAGGCCACTGCTGGTATCTTTGCCACCTATCCTGCTCCATACCTCTCTCTGATAGCTGGATTTTTTGACCAGGTAGCACTGAAAGTCAACTAAAGCTTCATAGTTACAACTCTCCATCATCAGACATAATCAGCATGAATGATTTCCTTTACTGGATGGCTTTCTACACGGTTATCTTTCCGTACTGATGTTTTTGTTCTATGTGTGTGTCTGGGGAAGGTATTTGGCACAGCGATGCTACTACTGTGCCTTATGGCTCTATCCGACCAGAAGAACAAACCAGCGCCAGCAGGAAGTGAGCCTGCATTTGCGGGTTTCCTGGTGCTTCTCATTGGCATTTCTTTGGGTAGCAACAGTGGCTATGCCATCAACCCCACCAGAGACATCGCACCCAGGGTTTTCACTGCCATGGCAGGCTGGGGATCTGATGTGTTCAGGTACACAAAAAGGCCATATCATTTTCTTTTGCTCTTTCCACCTTAATCAAGGATTAGTCAAGAATAAAACCCCCCAACTACTTTTCATTATTAATTAACTATTTACTTTTTTGTGGTTTGCTGCCTTTATCTGTGTAGGGCTGGAAATGGATGGTGGTGGGTGCCTCTAGTTGCCCCCCCTATTGGAGGAGTCCTTGGAGCAGGGCTATACAAGGCTGTTGTGGAACTGCATCACCCACACCTCTCTGAAGCGGGTGGAGAGATGGTTGAAGAAGCTGTCCCTCTGGATAAAGAGATAAATACCATTGAAAATATGTGTGTGTGACACCCTAGCTAAGTTGACAGCTAAGTGAATAGCTCTATGAAGATGCAACATTCAATGAAGGTAAAGGGTTAAAAAGCCCAAAACTAACTTGTTAGATGGGAGACAGAAGATGATTAGCAAACAGGGAGTGAAATAAAGATTTGTTTAAATCAAAAATGCTCACCGTGTTTTACACAATTTCAACATCAACTTAAGCTGGGTGTGTTGAGTTAATTTTCCCAAGTGGCAACATGGGAAACTGAGACTGTTGTGGAGGGCTGGACCAATAAGATGAACTCAGTTCTGCTCAATATTAATTATTCCTTTGTAATCTGCTACTGGTAAGAGTAGATGTTACAATTAGACCCTAATTGTGGTCTCTTGGGAAAATTAATTGCCCATCCCTGAATTATTCTTCTAGAGTTAGTGTAAATGATAGACTACAATACATATAAGATATACACTATTAGACATTTTGACTCACTGTGCTCGTTACTATACGCTACAATAAAAAGGTTTGAGACAAACATACGGTCACTTTAAAGATGAAAAATTGACAAAACCACACTTGCTCACTCATGTTGTTTTTATTACTGCAATAGCAGCTTATGTAACCTTAGAAGACATAAATATCATTCACTTTAACACTCAACAGGGGACTACTTCCACAACTGTGGAAAAACTTAAGGGTGTGCAAAGAGAAGCAAACAGCCTCCATACACTGGGATCATATATTTTTTTGAAAATCTAACACACAGTAGGAGATGACTCCTCACCGCTTGAAAGGACAGCGACAAAACCAAATACAGACATTTTTCTTTCTAGCATTCTTGTGCACAGCAGCCTATAGACAAAAAGTACATACTAAAAAGTACTTGAACCAAAACTGTAGATGTGAGATTGGGTCTACTGAGCTTTATACTTGTGTTACAAGAGCCATTATCTAAAGCGCTTACCCAATTTAGAATCGGTAGGTGGGGTCTGTGGCAGGGGTATTGGCTGAATTAAACTTCTCTGGTGATTCTTTGTAGGGTCGACAGGGTTTACCTACGTATGTGGCTGATGTTGTTGCGGGTATTCAGGCTTGTGCGTGGTGCGTGTGATCATGTCCCGATCTATTAGATGCAGTGCCAGCCACAAAAACGTAGCCAGACATGCATAAGAGGAATCAGTGGTACTAAACGGACCATCTGGTGCGATGTATAGTTGCTTATGAAGGGAGGCGCACGTCAGGTTAGGGCAAGCACTACGTTGTTGGCTTTCATAGAGGTTTGTTGTTTTGACATACCTGTGGCGAAGACTTAACAAAGTAGAAATCATGTGAAACAAACACAAGATAACCATTCACAACCTACAGCCAGTTTAGAGTCACCAGATAATCTGATGTGAATGTCTGTGGAAGAAGCCAGAATATCTGGTGAGAACTCGCACAGGCACAGGAGAACATGCAAACTCTGTGGATTTGAACGCAGAGACCTTCCTCGCAGTGAGGCTCACTGTGGCCCTGAACTGCTAAAATATACCTTTGATATTAATTCACTCATGATAAATAATCTGTGTTAGAAACAGTGTTCATTTATAAAGTTTACATTACAGAGCAGCATTCATGAGGCACTGCAGTAGTACAATGGCCAGTTAGTAGTCCTTTTACAATGTAACAGGTCACGTTTTAGGTTTGTCTTCACACTTATGTGGTTTAATGTTTCATAATGAAGCTCTAAAAGCATCTGTTGAGTCCTATACATTAGTTTTCAACCTGTCAATTACCTGTTCGTATTATCAATACATATAGGGTGTGAGCTACACAGCATTACATTAAGTCTTCTTGTTTCCTTAAGTTTACAGTTATTAATATAAAGAGATGTGTTATCTAGCCATTTCCGCACTTTACAGTATTACATGCTGCATGTAGAATTTACATAATGCATTCAGAAATCAAGCCCACTGAAAACAGCAGCACTTATAAACTCTGGTTCTGGTTCCAGCAGTGGTACAGTTATATTGTACATCTGTCTGCTTTGATTTTATGATTTTTTTTAACCATAAGCTGTCAGTAGTGAACATTACATTAAAGGAGTTTATAAGTACTGAATATACACTGATACAACTCTCTGTTAAATCAAAGACTAATTACTCTGGCAACACTTGGCATCAAAAGGTGGATAAAATTCAGGATTGTGTCTTTCTACATGTGAGGGGGATTCATTTTTAACCATCTAAGCCAAGTGTGATGGAAATTGCCATCGTGTCCTCAAACATATAAAGTTTAGAAACATTTTTTGCCTTCAACACTTTTAGTACTATAACTGTATCACCTTTCCAATGTGTCTAGCCAGCAACAACCCTGGCTACATATCAACTCAGCCTTGGCAAACGTGTCAAACAGCACCAAGTCAAACTGAGTCTAGCTCCTGAGGGAACTGGAGACATTTGGTCATGCTGACAGTTAAGGTGTCTTTAGTAGAAATGTCTTCATCGTACGGGTACCTTCTCACCGCTTTGCTCCACTTTGTCTTCCTGCATTGCTTTGGCCCTTGGCTGCGCCACCTGAGTTGCACTGTGTCAACTGCTTCTTCTTGGGGGCTGGGACCTTGGCTTTGCCTTTGAAAGCCTTGGAAGGATCCAGCTTGTTCAGATATAAATCCCCAGCAGGATCCGCCAAACTGAGCTCACAGTTGAAAGTCAGAGGCTGGTAGAGGGATGCCCACTGCTGCAGCAGCAACCAAGATATACATAATTTAACACAATCTACGTAACACATGGGAAAAAAACAAAAAAACAAACCCACACCAAATATGTTTTGAAAATACTACTTAATTTACTAACTGAGCCAGCAATGCTATATCTGATTCTGTGGAATGTATGGCACCTTACGCACATAATTATGCTCTCTGGAAGCAACTTAAAACTCAGTGCTGTGCTAACTTACTAAAATGTTACATTTGCCAGTATTGTAGTAGACTGTGAAAGAATCATCCTGAATAAAATGTATTCATACAACTGCAATGGCCTCACATGTTGTTAATAATATGAATAAATATTAAAAATACAATTTATGTCACAGCACATATTCTGAAAAAAACAGATTAGACACTTTGACTACCTTAGCCTGAGGGCTGGGGCCATATGGGGTGAAGTGATACTGCCACTCAGGCAGACCCAGATGGGTTATCATCAGTCGGTAGTAAGAGGTAAAGGTTGTGGTCAGAAAGTGCCAGCACAGAGAGCGGTCTAGAAACCATATTTCACTTCTCTGAGCAACCACACCTGAAAAAAAGCAAGGATATTAACTTAAGGAACTCAGATTTTAAAAAAATATTTTTAATGTATATATATATCTTATAACCTATAAGATACAATACACAAGCAGAGCACCTGGAGTGCAATTTTTGTAGACTAGGCACACTTTGCCATTCCCACCACAGGAATCCAGCTCGAAGATGCGGCTCCGGGAGTCGAAATGAGGTGCGACGGGCACACGCGCCGACCCTGACAGATAGCATTAATGAATCTTGAATAAATATTTACGGTCCAATCAAGAGCTCATTCATTAGCCTGCTTTCTGCACAACTGAGCACACGTACTGTAAACAAACATAATTGAAAGTGACGTGTTGTAATTGAGGATCCCACATGAGGATCCGGCAGGTGAATATTTACCACTTTCTGTGCCGCTCTCCTCCCAGTCTAGGTCAGCGAGTGATGGCGCATTGGGCAGAGAGAAGAGTGACACGGGCTGGAGCAGCGGGCACAGTCTGGCCACACTATTAATCATCATGCATCCTAAGGGAACACACTCACCTGAAAGACAGCACATCCACACAGTGAGGGCTGTGTGCCAAGAACATAAGAAAAGCTGCAGTGCTATTTTCATTTACAATATTACTTTAAAAACAGACTTTTTTTTTTTCTCACTGTGAATGTAGACAGACCACATCAGGACACCTACTGTCTAGTTTAACGCTCCATGTTAGTGTAAAGCCATCAGTTGTCAGATAGAAGTCTCTCAGGTCCTCTGGTAATATACACGTGTTTTTCTGGCAAATAAACACAAAAGATGAATAACACATGACAAAAGTATACTGTACTGCCATATCAATATCTGACATCTACCATGCATCTTCCTTCCCACCTGCTCCCATGACAGCAAACTCCTCTTCTCTGCAGGCTCTCTTTCTGCGAAACGCACGTCCACCACCCCAGGCATGTTCTCTGTCCCAGCAAGGACAAGTTCATGACATTTATTACAATCTATTTTTTCATAGAATTCAATGCTTTGCTAGCTAACGCTCTCAATGCATATCACAATCATACACACCAAGTATCCGAGTGATACCGAGCGTCAGCCTATCGGCAATCTTGAAGCTCTCCTTTGTTTCTTCCATTTGGGTGATTGCGATTACAAATTTGTACAAAACCCAGAATCCATCCTTTGCAGATGTCTGTAGCGCATTCTTCCCCTTGCTCCAAATAGCTCATCTGCGGACGCAAGCGGAGGGAGAAGGGACGCAAAACGGACATGAATTTGCACCAATAGAAAGCCACCCTTCTACAACGCAACCAATGAGATGTTTGCTTGTAAGAGAAAGGCGGGGCATCTATTCCTTAGCAACGCTTGGCTCCCTGGGAGTGGTGGCGGTTGATTCAACATGGCGGCAGCAGCGAAAAGAAGTGAAAATTCGGGGATATTTTGGATGAATGGCGGTACGCTGACTTTTATCGAGCTACATTAGCCTTATCCAACACTTCACAGTTGTATATATCTTACAGGAAGACATAAAGCTTTTCGAAGTAGAGTTATAGTGTTACTTTTACGTCCGTACTAGAAAGTTGTTTTCTCTGAGGAAGTGAGAGAGCTTGTAGCTAATTATAGTTAAGATAAAGATTGCTCACCTAACCACTTATTTCAAGTTGATTTTGGATAGTTTGTTATTGATGATAACTGTATTCATGCTACCTCTTACATTGAGTTAGTCCTGCTAGGTCTCCCAATACAGAACAGAGCAAAAAGAACACTGTAAAAGCCATCTGCAGCTGTTTAATTTGAGTGTCTCCATCCTCTTTTTGTTATGCCCACACAGTGTCAGATGATGAACAGCCTTTGGTGTTTATTCCTGGTGAGTTCAGTGATAAACAGTTTCTGAAAACTGTAAAACTTTATATAGAGTGGCTCTTATTGTTGTCCTCTTAACATCCTCAGGGGTGGACGGAGAGTTGAAGTCTCAGGCCCCTTTTAACCTGAAACCACTCAGTACCAGTACATCCAAGAAAAGAGGCCACAAGATGGGAGAGAAGAGCACTTCTGACTGCAAAAAACAGGCCAAGCAAAGGAGAGAAGTCAAAAACCAAAGTGATCTCTCGGGGGTTTATACTAAGGAGGACGTGTCTGTTCACCACAATGCTGCTGTGATGACACCTCAGACTTTTCTTCCGGTTTCACAGGTATCATAGGATTTTTTTCCCCCATGCGGCTGAACTTTTTTGATTAAATGGCAATATTTAATGCACTGAATTTAAATTAATATAGTGCTTTTTTTTGTCTCAAATAAACCCACTGGCCACTTCATTAGTGACGCTTTGCTAATATCAAGTTGAACACCCTTTTGACTTCTGAACTGCCTTAATTCTTCATAAATTCAACAAGGGGCTAGAAAGATTCTTTAAAGATTTTTGTCCATATTGATGTATTAGCATCACACAGTTGCTTCAAATTTGCCACTTGCACATCAATATTGTCAATCTCCAGGTTTGCCAAAACCCAAAGGTGCTCTTTTGCATTGTGAGCTGGTGACTTTTGGGGCCATTTGAGTAGTAAACTCCTCATCATGTTCATGAAATCAGTTTGAGATTATTTGAGCTTTGTGACATGTCATGTGACAGAAGATAGCACACTGGTCATAAAAAGATGAACATGGTTAATACTCAGGTAGACTTTAGTGTCACACCACTGCCATCATGCTAATACAATGCAGGATGGATTCATTCTTTAATGTTATTTACTCCAAATTCTCAGACTACCACCTGGATACCACAGAAGAAATCGATACTCATTAGACCAAGCAATGTTTTTAAATTTTCTATTGTCCAATCTGATGGTTTGAAATGAAGCAGGTCAACTAGACTGCATGAATTGCTGTCATATGATTGGCTGATTTGAACCTAACAGACAGATGAATTTGTTTAATATAGTGGCCAGTGAGTGCATATAGAAACAGTATTGCTACTCTTTATTATTAAATCTGTATGTTTAACTCTTACTCTCATATTCTTAAAGGTCATTTCTGAAGTTAGCAAAGCAAAGAGTGAGGTCTGTCTGAAAGACCTTTGTCCTGAAGATAAGCGACGAATTGCAAATCTCATTGAAGAACTGGCTAGGTATCCAATGTTATTATCTTTTATGAATTTAACAATTTATAGTGATGGAAATTAAAATGTATATTATTAACTCCTCATATGTTTTCCTTCTCTTTTTTTTTTAATTTTTTTTTTAAAAATGTCTTTTGTTTCCCTGTTCTCTAGAGTGAGCGAGGAGAAAGAAGAGTCGGTGCGGCGTCTGAAAGATGAACAGGGAAATTTTGAATGCAAGATTCAGCAGCTAGAGCAACAGAACCAAATCATAGCACAGGAAAGGGAAAGTATCCTTTCAAAGCAAGCAGACAGCTGCAATGTATAATACCCTGCTTTTCCTAATGGGCCATATGAAGTGATTTTTTTTTTTTTTTTTTTTTTTTTTTTTTTTAAGTGTAATGATAAGGCTGCGGATGCTCTTTTGAGAGCTG